TCAATTTCCCATTTAAATAACATAGGAACATTTTTTTTTTGTTTCAATTTGATTTTTCGATATTAAAATTTTTTTTAACTTTTGTAGGGCATAAAATTCGCTACAAAAAGTTTTTGTGAATCAATCCCCTCCGACTAACAGTTTTTGAGTTATAGAGCTAGAAAGATGAATATCAATTATATTTCACGTCAAATCTTCTTTAAACAAAAATTTATTATTTTTACATATAATAATAACTTATTATAAACATTAGGACGCGACATTCGAGTCGTAATATGATTCGGGTTTTTAATTCCAAAAACTAGTTTTAAATTAATTTAATAAATATAAATTTCAATTAATAATCATTATATAATCAAATTATCAATATGTTAAAATTTAAATTTTTGTTTATATTCTAATTTAAAATTTTTTTATTTTCATTTCTAACCACAGTGACGCTACTCTTGACTTCGTCTATACGTCCATTGATGTAAACAGAAGTTTTTGCTCTTCAATCGTATTGACTAGCATTGATTGTTGATAATTGTTAATAAATTTTAACATAAAGAAGATTTGATGTAAACTATAATTAATATCTTTCTATCTCTATAACTCAAAAACTGTTAGTTGGAGAGGATTTATTCAGACAAACTTTTTGTAGCAAATTTCATGCCCTACAAAGCTATTCACGGGGTTTTCCTAAAAAAAAAAAATTTCAATATCGAAAAATTAAATTGAAACAAAAAAAAATTTTTTCTATGTTATTTAAATAGGAAATCGAGTTTTTGAATGAGCTAAGTAGCTATTGCATTTAGAACCTTTTACCCGGCGGCATAATTTTTTATTTTTTATAAAGTTTTAGATTTTAAGGGAACACAGAGAAAAAAATATATTGCCTGAAAATTAAGCACCCCAATGAGTATTGTTTGATTTATTATAGTTAATTTAAAACAATATTAATAAAATTATTGATCATCAAATAATTTGTACAAATCCTTTTTTAATTACCTATAATTTGTTTCAGATTAGTGTATTTAAAGGGATTGGAGGAAATAAAGCAATTCGCCAGCTTTGGGGCAGTGCCAGTAAAAGTAACATCCAAGTTATTCAACGTTTCCAGAATAAAGTATTAAGGAACATAGTCGACGCACCCTAATACTGCTGCAATACTATCTCCATAGGGACCTTAAAGTGAAGACTGTTGTAAATACAATACAAAAGTTTACCAGTAGCCACCAACAACGATCGCTCCAACATGGAAACCTTGGATTATCCAGCTCCTCAACAATGCCAATTTAATAAGAAGACTCAAGAGAATCAAACCTTTTGAGTTAGTTTACTGATGTTAGATTAAAGCAGATTATAATTCGGTTAAGTGTTATACGTTAACGGTAGGGTAATTAAATAATTAGAATCTAAGGGTAGACTATAGTCTATTTTTATGTATGAGAGAGTAATAAAACAGCATTTCTAATGCAAAACTTAGTACGGTCATTTTAAATATTTTTACAGAATAATCTAAATATTTCCTAAAATTGTAATAAATGTACCTGAGCTATTACAAGTTTTGGGTCTTTTATTGGTCCTTTATAAACATAAGCTGTACAGAACAGTAGAAAAAGGTTTGGACAGGCCAAAAGCCCTGTGTATTAAAGATTACATAGCCGCATCTTAAGATTATTTTCAATAAGTACCTATTTGCCAATTTTGTTTTATTTTAATTCCAAGAATTTCTTACAGTAATCGAATTATAAGTAGATAAATACCTTCCCAACAAATTTTACCGAAAATGCGATTATAGGTTTTCCATTTAGTAAGGAGGTCCAAGTTGTGTATTCTTAACAGTTTACTAAATGTCGTTTAGTTGCAACTTGCAAGGTGCAGTGTGAATTCTAGTGTGATCATGGAAAATTTGGAAGGGCCGCGTAAACGACAAAAAATCGGTCCTTTAACAGTTAATGAAAAAACATTATTATTTAATTGTTTTAAATCATTTACAGACAAACATTTATGTAAAAGTGTTGATGACACAGTGGAATTAGTTAGTAGTACGCTTTGTGTTGGGAAATCTACGATTTACAGAGTTGTTAAAGAAGAGAAATGTGGTGAGTTTCAAACAACACGTAAAGCTCCAGGAAAACCAAAATTTCAATTAGAAAATCTTTTGAAAGAAAGACTTCGAAGGAAAGTGCATGCGTTCTTCTTTAGAAAAGAATTTCCGACAGTAGACAAAGTTCTTGCCACGGTTCGAGATGATAAGGATTACCCTGAAATGAGTCGAAGCACACTATGGAAACTTTTAAAAGAAATAGGTTTTCTATGGAAAAAGCATTCCAGAAAGTCTATTTTAATAGAAAAACGCGATATTGTAGTATGGAGAAGAAATTACCTAAGGACTATAAAAGAAATGAGAAACCAAAGAAGAAATATATTTTATTTAGATGAAACATGGATCAACGAGGGACATAAACCAAATAAATTTTGGCAAGATGAAACTGTTACAAGTCGAAGACAGGCTTTTTTAAATAATTTATCTACTGGTTTAAATCCACCATCAGGAAAGGGGCGCAGACTAATAATAGTACACATCGGTAGTTCAAACGGTTTTGTTAAAGGTGGTTTATTGACTTTTGAATCTACTCGTACCGGTGACTACCATGAGGACATGAATGCTGATGTCTTTAAAGAGTGGTTCGAACAAATTATAGATCTTCTTCCTCAGAACTGTATAATAGTAATGGATAATGCAAGTTATCACTCGAGACTTATAGAAAAAATGCCCACAACCAAGTGGTTAAAAATAGATTTACAGAATTAGCTAAATTCAAAGAATATTAAGTTCCATCCCGGTTCTGTGAGAAAAGAACTGTATCATTTGTGTTCCCTTCATAAAGAGAAATTCAAAAAATATGAAATTGATGAAATTGCAAAAAATCGTGGGATGACGGTGGTTAGATCACCACCATATCATTGCGAAGTAAACCCGATTGAACTGATATGGGCACAGATAAAGGGAGAAGTTTCAAGAAAAAATCATTCTTTTAAAATGAGTGATGTTAAACAGTTGTTTTTGGAGGCTGTAAATAATGTGAAGCCTGAAAACTGGGAAAAGGCAGTAAATCATACGATTAAAGAAGAAGAGAAAATGTGGAAGTTGGACAATATTACTGATGAAATGATCGAGCCACTCATTGTAAATATTAGTTGCGACCTCGGTTGCGACAGTTCATCTTCTGATTTCGATTCTGATTTGGATTTGTAGGTAAGAAGTAGTTTTTATATTAAAATTATTATGTATGAACGTAACGTTGTTTAAAATTCAAAGTTTAAACCCTTATACCTACATAACCCGTTTGACACAATGTTCTTAACATACCTTGTGGAAAAATAAAACATTTTAGAAAAAATTTTTACCTTCAGCTGTTTAGAAGTTGTAAGCAGGTATAGGTGAAAATATAAGTGTATACTCGAGGAATAACTTCAAAAAATATTTTAACTGTACTAAAAGAAGTGCTACGCCTATGGATTACGAACGCTTTATTATTTTAATACTCTCTCATACATAAAAATAGACTATAGTGAGTAGAATCTTAGTTTATAAGTTTTTCATCTTTAGATAAGTTAGGTTATAATAAAATTGCTAATTGATGTTAATGATCAGATTGTAATAATCGTAAGTGTTTCTTTACTTGGGGCATTTATTAAAAAAAAACCTATTTGTTTCAGATTAGTGCATTTAAAGGAATTGGTGGAAGTTAAGCGATTAGCTTTTAAATTTTATGAAATAATGTTATAACATTATTTATTTGTTTGTCTAAGAATCAATGTTTGAGTTTTGTGTATTTTAAATAAACATGTAACTTTTTAAATGTCTTTTTTTAGTCCAATATTTTAGAAAAAAAAACTAGAATACATTTCTGAAATATTACTATTTAATAGGTATTTTTAAAAGATTTCAAATTTTCATTTCAGAAATATTATATTTACAGGACATTTTTACGTTTCAGGCACATTTCAGAAATGTTTCTAGGATGTTTCGTAATATTTATACAACATTACAAATGTTTCAATGTAACATTTTTGAAATATTTCCGAAATGTGTTTGTGCTGTATGGGGTATTGTCTATTTCAATTTATTTTAGTCAATGACCGGTCAAATCCACAACCCTAATCATAATTCATATCTCAATTATGCATAAATAACAAAAAATTATTATCGGTATATTATAAACATTTTTTTCATAATTTACGGCCAATATAACGACTAATTTTGATTTCCTCTCTTCTATTTCTTATAAATTTAAATTTATTCCACGTTCGAACAACAAAGGTCTAGGTACCTTTGCCACGCCTATTTGCATTGTTTAAACGCATTCAAATATCGTTTTGAATAAAAAATTATCATTGTGCAAAAATTTGGTATTCAAATTTTGTTAAATTTCCTGAAATTGGAATTTAAGATTACTGGTGTTTCAAAAAAAAAAAATTAAATTAAATCTACGTATTTTTTTGCAACAACGCATTTCCTTATTGCGACTTTCCTTTAAGGGTGGTTTATGCGTCTTTAAAATTATTACGGCGTAGGTAATGTATAAAATAATTGTAATTCAGAGATGAAAATAAAATTTTAATATTTATTAAATTTAGTCATCTCGGCTATAACTTTCGTATTTGTTTACTATTTAAATACATGTTCCTGTCCTACAAGAATATAATTGACCCTTTAATGGCACGAACTGGTTCTTTGTAAGGGCTGCCAAGGTCACTTTACGCAAACAATATTTTATACTTGAAGCGATAAACCCACACAAATGCGGTAAAGTCAAACCTGCAAATTCTATATCGATAATATCACTGTAAATATTTACAAACATCAAATATAGATCTGCCAAATCTCCTCCGGGAACGTAATGACGTCAGATAGGTATTACCGATATTATGTCAGCAAAAAAGCAAAGTAATGCGGCTCTAGCCAAGCGTAACTTTCACCTACAAGAAGCAAAATTTGAAGTACTCACCGTAAGACATGCCTCCTAGTAAAGTTGTAGATAATGAAACAATAATAATTCGGTAATAAATTACCGGAATCTCGGTTTATTGTGTCTTCTGCACGAATGTCAACTAAGTTATCGATCCCGAATCCCGGTGGATACGTAACGTATATGAACGCTAGAAGCAGTTAACGATGCGCGAACGCAGTCCAATACTGGCGCAGGTCTAATTAGATATCTGCCAGGGTACTGGGACTGGGCCACTTCCACTTTTACTGCACCTGCTTCGCTTCTCTTCTCTTGCATTTATTATTTATTTTTACCTTGCGTAGGTTGGAAAAATATTATGGTTCATTGTACCTTTGCTTTGCCGCATTCATTAGATTTGGCTTACGAAAGCTTCCTTCCTTTTTAAAAGATTAATTGCAATAATTGTTAAACATTTAATTACTAAATAATAATATACAATCACGTATGGTTTTGAAGCAGATATAATATCACAAAACGAGAAACATTTTTTTTTTCAAATGAAGAATATACCTACAACGAAACAGGTCGTAATAACTGCAAATCTGGTATTATACAGTGTATCCCAGATTTGCTTCTCTATACAGGGATCTCGGCTCCTATTATATCTATACAGAAGGTTAAAAGTTTTAGAGGAAACTTAGTGCATTTGATAACCGCCCATACAGCACACATTATTTCAGAAATATTTCAAATGTTTCTAACATATAACATTTCAAGCACACGTTTCTAAAATATCTCACTGAAAATGTTTCTGAAACATCGTATACATGTTAGACAAAAGGTTTCTGAACGTGTTATGTTGTAAAAGGCCAACACTTATAATGAAGAATTTCTGATTTGTAAGAAAAAGAAGAAGATGGGATATATAGTTATTTTATTTCTTGTCCAGCCTTGCCAGCCAAAGACAACCCTATATTCTAAATAATTATAGATTGGAGTGGTCGGTTTTTGCCATTTCCTTTTTTTTTGTTATTTATACCTTTGTGCTGTTGTTCATGGGCGTCGTTGGGGGGGGGGGGGGGGGGCAGTTGCCCCCTGGCTTTTACGACTATACAACGCGTAATGGCTGTATGTAACAATACTAAATTAAGTACTAAAATTTAGCCCTAAATCAAGTTATTAATTTAGTACTAAATTTAGAACTAAAAATATTTTTTCCTTTTGCAACGATACCAATTTTTAGTACTAAATTAAGTATGGGCGCACGCGCATTGACGTATTATTACGTGAAATTAGCACAGAAATAAAATATTCTTTGTAAATAAGAGAAGAAAATTAAAAGATGTATTTATTATGACTTTGACACTAATTGACTTGACAATAACTAAATGCAGCAATGCTACTAAAAACCACGAAAAAACACTATAAAACCTACAAAATCAAACACAAGCGAAATTTGTCCAAGGCGATAAAGCAATAACAGTTGCTGTGTTGTAAATTGTAAAAATACTAGCAGAAAAACAGTGTAAATTATATAAATTTTTAGTAACAAAATGAAAATTAAATCAAAGAAATAAATGGATAGCTGTAGAAGAAAAAACCTTTATTTTTGTAATAATAACAGTAATACTGGAAATAGTAGACATCAGAAAATTGAAAGGTTTTAAATAAACAATAAATTATTATTTTACAATGTTGTTCAACATCCCTTAACTCTTAAATGTTGAGAAAGGATTAGATTTCTGCCTTTGATTATTGTATGTGGCTGAAATGCAATCTTGTGACTTATTGATAAGAAACCAATTTTATTCATTAATTTCTATGGGTTCTTTCGAACTAAAAATAAAGAAAATATGAATTACAATCGCAAATTTACCAATTATTTTTGTTAATACGTTTTGAGACTACGTTATTATATAATGGTAATGTTTTTGTTTTCACATTATTTAACCTTTTCTTCAATGTTAACTTATTAGACTTAGGCAACATATACATTTTCTCGTAAATATATAATCTTATAATAATAATTCTCTCCCTAATTCACCCCCTTATGAGTGAATTTTAACTCCAAAAGCTGAGCTTGTACGGGGAAAGGGACGGCTATTATTATTATTATTATTATTTGCTCTGGCGCTCCGGGACGACTTAAAGATGATTAATGGTGACAATTGACTTACAGGTGAGGAAAACCCGGAAAACCCCACCTACTATCATCGAAAACGGTAATGCATGGTGATTTTATTTTAATAATCTGGATGTCATATCAACAGAAATAAAATTTCTGCTAATATGGCATCCATCAAATCCTATAGAGAACCATGCAAATAAATTCACATGGTCTTCCGTATGATCTGAAACCGTGTCTCGTTTTATCAGAAAATTGACTGACAAATGAATGCTGCGCCGTAGACACCAACACATATATATTTTTTAATTCCATTAAAAATTGTATTGTCAGTATACGCAAATATCGTCCGTTAATTCATAAATTAGTTGGCGCTGCTCACGCACAGAGCGAATAATGAATGAAAATAGGCTGACTGCGCTTTGCATGATGAACGTACATCCAAAAATAATCGCAAAAAACTAAAAAGAAATCATGTTTTCTGTTATCGATTATTTTAGGTAGAGGAAGAAGAAATTAAAAATTTACGAACACTAGGTCGACGTGTATGAGTTTTTTTTGTTTTTGTGTTTCTATAAATATTTTATTTTTTTTATATATTATGTATGGCTCTGTCTCCTTGTTCATATTTTTCTTTTATCTTACACCTTCTATTTGTTTTTTAGAAATATGTGTTTTAAGTTTCTTGTTTTTTTTTATTTTAGTTTTTGTCTTTTTTGTTGGGTTATTTTATTTATTAAAAACTTTTGTTAATTTGTATTGCTCTTTTAGTTTTCAATTTTTCTGTTTTTCAACTAATAAACATTCTAAATTTTTTCAAAATTTTGCCCCCCCCCCCTATAGAATTGTGTAACGACGCCCATGCTGTTGTTATATGGGAAGCAGAATGTCTTTATTAGAAATTGAGTCCTACACCAGTTTTATTCTACAGCCGATTAAAAAGCGAAGCTTCATGTTTTATTTAGGGACGAGTAGTTATATAAATCCTTTTTTATTATCTATAATTTGTTTCAGATTAGTGCATTTAAAGGAATTCGTAGAAATGATGCAATTTGCCAGCTTTGGGGTGTGCCAGTAAAAGTACCATCCAAGTTATTCAACATTTCCGGCATAAAGTAGGTATTAAAGAACATAGTCGATGCACCCTGGTATATACCGCCACAATACTGATCTTCATAGGGACCTTAAAGTGGAGACTATTGAAAATACAATACAAAAATTTGCCAGTAGTCACCAACAACGTCTTTTAAAATGAGTAAGTTTTTGTCTTCACGCAGCAATACATGTTTGCGCATACAAAGCTGAGCTGACTTGAATGCAAACGAGATCAGAAAACATGTGCGTCGGCCTTTTTGCAAAAGATTTATCTACACACTGGTGAACATCAACGCGCGTACATCAACGTGCGTTTGTCTTTATACATGCGCGAGCGTCTGTAGGCCCCTTTACAGAGGTATGATACTTAGCCGACGAAGTCTCGTCGAGTTCGCGCATGTCGTATTGTGGTGGGGAATATGATTATCTAATTGGCCATGAGTAGATTAACCCTTTCGGTCATTGTGTACACATTTGTGTACATCAATTTCTCAGTACCCCTATTATTGCCGCGTTTGAGAATCCACATCGGATGCATTTTTTACATCTCGAGCGTTTTTTTATCCACATCTGACACATCTGTCCCATTACATTTACGTACACTGAATCACGTGATCAAAGATTTACTACATCTCAGATGCATCCGATGTGGATTCTCAAACGCAGCAAATATATTTTATTATATTATCATATTATTTAAATGTATCACTATAGCTGCCATCCAGCGGTTTTTCTGGCAGTTTTACTGCGTTGAGAATAGTTTGAAAAAATAAAAACAAACTAATATAAGGTAGTTTTATGAGTGCAAATATTGACATTTACGATTTTTTGTTCGGAAGTATTTTTTTTTTTATAAGCCACGTACTCGTTTGTGTACACTGAGAGTGAGTGGAATAAAATAACAAGGTAAATATACCCACACTTTTTTCTTTATTATATTAGTAGACAGTTGAATATTATAGATTACTGGTTTATAATGAGTCGAAATCGCCCGCTAACGGATATTTAACTATTAGAATTAATAGAGGCTGGATTATCAGACATTGAAGGACTCAGCGACGGCGAAGTCAATGAAGATGATGACGTTGCGAGAAATTCTGATGATGAAGGTATACTATTTGTCGCTTATGTTTATAACATATCGTATTTAACTTTATACATATTTTACCTTGCAGAATTACCGGATATGGCTGCTGAGGAGGAAGAATCTGAAGAAGCTGAACAGCTGAAACAACTTGGAGCTGAACCTGAAGCGGCTGAACAGCTGGAACAAGGCGGAGCTGAACCTGTTCTTAACAATTCTATAAAAAATCCACGAACGTCGAAGGAAGCCAATATAGACGAGTATTTGGAGAACAATGAACTTTCAAAGAAAAGTGAGATATCGTGGCGAAGAAACGTGCAGTATATCACCCCACCAATAAAGTGGCACGTTAGAGGAGAAGAGGCAGTCGTCGAATTAGGAATTAGAAAGGCCAGCGTTTTTTTTTTCAGTAAATATTTTACAGAAGATGTTTTTCAATCTATGATGGAACATACAAATCTCTATGCTGTACAATAGCAAACTCGCTTTGCTCCTACGACGATGGAAGAATTGAAAACGTTTGTAGGAATACACATCATGGGCAATCTACATTTCCCAAGGATTAAGTTTTACTGGGACCATAAATTACAGATTCATTGATCTCCAATAACATGCCCATCAACAGGTTCTATAAATTGCGACAACATGTTCCCTTTGTGAATATCAATGAAAAACCGAACAACAGTGACAGATTTTGGAAAGTACGTCCATTATATGATGCAATTAGAAGAAGATGCCTCTCCCTTCCATTGGAATCAAAACTGTGTGTGGATGAGCAAATGGTGCCGTTCAAGGGAAGTTTGAACATCAAGCAATATGTCAAAAACAAACCCAAACCATGGGGTAATAAAATTTTTGCGTTGTGTGGTTGCAGTGGCACCTTATATGATTTTATAATATATCAAGGATCTACTACTGAACCCCACCAACAACAACTTGAAGTATTCGGTTCGGGAGCTGCAGTGGTACTAAAATTATCTGAAAGAATCA